TCGGTGAGATCTCATCCATGGAGACGCAGCATTCAAGAGACTGGATGCCTCTAGGCAGGGTGCTAGGCATCCGGTACAAGACACTCATACCGAAGACGGAGGATTCAAAGTTTCAGAGTATCTTCTGCCCGGCAGGAGTCTGTATATCTGGGCTTTGTTGTATTTCTTTTTACATATTTCACATTCAAATAGTATTTCCACATGAGGAACTTGTTTCTCTTAAAACAGAAGGCAAACTTTTCTAGAGTGTTCAAAAAACCATCACATGTGTCACAAAAACTAGCTTCTCGGAGCCTCTGGAGAGAGAGACAAAGATACATTGAAGAATTGAAGTCAGGGGGTCTCTTGTTGAACTGAGCTCCATTTCCACGGTCCTCAGATGGAAGATTCTTTGTGGTCTCTCTACCATGTGGCTGAAAGCGAGTAATCCAGTCAATTCAGCAGGGAGGGTGCAGCAGAGGTTTGTGTGTGTATGTGGGCATGCACACACACACACACACACACACACACACACACACACTCACATGCTCAGCTACCGCACTCTGGGGCAGTTTCCAGTTTCCATAGTAGGCGGAGATTTCATACCAATCTGAACTGAGCTCTGGTTTTCTGAAGCCTTGAACCTGCAGAGGGGCTGGTCCCTTCTCTTCTTCTCACTAGAAGCTAGAGGTCAACAGAAGGCCAGGGCCAGCAGGAGCCTTTTCCACCAAAGGACATGGATCTGCAGAGGACAGAAGTCAGCCAGAGACGAGGGAGGGCCCGCAGGAGCCTTGGGCTGGCAGGAGCCAGGGTCAGCAGGAGCCGTGAGTCAACGGACAGACGTCAGGAGTCAGCAGGAGCTGAGTCAGCAGGAGCCATGGGTCAGGAGAAAACCACGAGTGGGCAGAAGCCGAGCGTCCTCAGAGGCCATGAGAGACCCTGTTCAGCAGGAACTTTTGTTCTGCAGGGCCTTGGGTTAGCAGGCCTAAGAACCATTGTCCATAGGAAACACAGGAGACCCACCAGCACGTGATGGGACCAGGGGACAATGGACACACAAAAAAGATGGCAGATCCAGACTTGGAGGTGGCTGTGGCCATCAGGTTGTGGAAGCCACAATTACGCAAAAGTGACAAAATAAACCAGAGGCTGGGAGAGAACACTTAGTAATAATAGCATCAGCAAAGCACGTAGGATAAGGAAGTCCCCATCCTGATAGGGCAGGGAGCAAGGTGCTCCTGAGATGGTGTGAAATACCTGGTGTTTAGAAGAGTGCCAAATCACAGTGACCTAGTTCTTGAAGTAGTTTCTGAGAACTGGTCATTTGGCACCTGAGAGTCTCATCTTCCCTGACTTCCTAGATATCCTCCTCATAAACCACTACTATGGTACTAACTTTTTCTTTAGGGTGGATGCCTACAGGAAAGTTTTCAGACATAGTATTCAAGATTGATAGGTTCTGGACACTCCATGACGTTATGCCTTCATTATTTTTCAAAAATAGTGTCTAATTTGTTCCCAGACACCTTGTAACTAAAGTTCTCACAAAATATATTCTTAAAGGTACAAAGTTTTCAGGGAAACTGAGAACTACTACGTTTTCTACCCATCAGGAGAGATGTCCATTACATAAAGTTCAGATAAGCAGATTAGGCCCAGGTCTGCCCCACTGACCAGCAGACCCACTCTGGAGCTCAGGCCCTGGCATAGGACTGCCCCTGCCACCCCCCCTCGCAGGAGCCCAGGTTCATGTTAGGCCCAGTCTCCCCGCCGGTCAGTAGACCCACTCCAGAGCTCAGGCCCAGCACCACCCCCTGGGCCCACCTGAGAGTCCAGGCCTGGCCCACCTCCATCTCGGGACTCTGCAGCCATTAGCATAGCCCTCCCCACGCAGTAGCTTCCACCTTGGGACAACAGACAAGGCCTCGAAGCAGCTGCATCTCAGAACAGGCAGCTCCAGACCAGTGTAAGGCCCACTCTTGCAGCCCCATCTCTGAAAGCGATAGCATCCATCTTGGGACACCCTCACTGCTATCTCAAGTCACCTTTACTATGCCGCCACCACCTTTAGTCACAGTAGCTTCCATCCCAGGGACACCGGCAGGGTCAGGAAGCCTGACACCAAGGTGAGGTACAGATAATCTGCATGGATACTGTAAGATTATAGGGTAGAAATTCTCACACCTGAGTTCCGCCCTGCAAGAGAGGAGGACACATAGACAACATGAAAAGTGCCCCAAACCCACCAGGATACTACCATAATAGAATCCATGGATGAAATGTCAGAGAAGGAGTTCAGAAGGTTCATAATTAAAATGATCTGTGCATTAAAGACAGACCTAAATGAGCAAATACAGACAAAAATTGATCACTCCAACAAAAAAGATAAGGGAGCAAATACAGGCATCCATTGATCACACCAATAAGGAAATAAGGGAGCAAATACAGGGAGGAAAATATTACTTGAAGAATGAGAGATTCTGGAAAAAAAAATCAGAAATCCTTGAAATGAAGGAAACAATAAACTGAATAAAAAACTCAATAGAAAGCATCACCAACAGACTAGATCGCTTGGAAGACAGAATGCCAGATAATGAAGACAAAGTATACCGTCTTGAAAATAAAGTTGACCACACGGTGAAGATGGTAAGAAACCATGAGCAGAATATCCAAGAATTATAGGACAGTATCAAAAGACCAAATCTAAGAATTGTTGGGATAGAGGAAGGCACAGAGATTCAAACCTAAGGAATGCACAATCTCCTCAAGGAAGAATATCAGAAAATTTCCCAAACATGAAGAATTAATTGGAAAATCAAATACAAGAGGCTTACAGGACACCAAGTGTACAAAATTACAGCAGATCTACACCAAGCCACATTATAATGAAAATGCCTAGCATACAGAATAAGGATACAATCTTGAAGGACGCAAGAGTCAGGCATCAGATCACATATAGGGGGAGACCCATGCGTATCGCAGCAGATCATTCAACTCAGACCCTCAAAGCCAGGAGATCCTGGAACAACATATACCAAGCTCTGAAAGGAAATGGATGCCAACCAAGCATCTTCTATCCAGCAAAATTGACCTTCAGATTTGATGATGAAATAAAAAACCTTCCATGATAAACAAAAGTTAAAAGAATTTACAGTGAGAAAGCCCATACTACAGAGCATCCTCAGCCAAATATTCCAGGAGGAGGAAATGAAAAACAACAATGAAAATCAGCCAAGGGAGGAACTACACTAAAGGAAAATCCAATCAAAGGAGAAACCAAGTCAAGTTTAAAACCAAAAATGAAACCAAAATGAGAGCGAATACAAATCATATTTCAATAATAACCCTGCATGTGAATGGCCTAAACTCATCAATTAAAAGACACAGACTGACAGATTGGATTTAAAAAAAAAAAAGACCCAATAATATCCTACCTGCAAAAGACTCATCTCACAGGAAAAGACTTCCACAGACTGAAGGTGAAAGGGTGGGAAAAATCATACCACTCACACGGGCCACGTAAACAAGCAGGGGTTTCCACCCTCATATGAGATAAAGCCGACTTCGAACAGAACTAGAGAAAAGGGGTCAAGAAGGACGTTTCATTCTGCTTAAGGGAACAAAACATAACAATCAACAAAACATAACAATCATAAATATCTATACCCCAAACAACGGGGCATTGAGGTATGTCAAACAAACTCTTCTCAAATACAAGAACCAAACAGACCACAACACAACAATACAGGCTGACTTCAAGACACCTCTCCCACCACACATTCCCAGACAGCATAAATATATGGCTGAACTAACATTAATGCACATCACCATCTTATCAATTACATAATAAAACAAAATTTCAAGTATCCAAATATTAAGTTACACAGCTCAAAAGGCATATAAAATATTAGACGTCTGCTCAATTCATCAGCAGAAAACCACTTTTTTCTTTTTTTTTTTTTTTGCAAGAGGTTGGGAATAAAAGGAAAAAAATCATACTTCAAACAAAAAGTTGGTAAGCAACTTCTGGTAATTATGAAAAAAACTACAAGAATTTCAGAAATTTTATGACCAAGAATTGTAGTTAAAATTAGCTTGTAACTTCTTGTAATACAACAGAGCAGCTCTACCTTTTAAAAAAATATTTACTACATTAAAGAGCATATATTCCAGAGGTTCTGCATGAGAAAAAAGCAACATTTTACTAAAAATATTAAATATCCCCCTCTCTTTATTTTATTCAGGCCCTCCCTGTTAAGTTGCACCTCAAAGTGCAAACATTAAATTAACTGTAAGACTTCTTTTGGTCTGGAGACTTAAAGACATGTGCTTCTGTAAAAACTTAGGTTTTCAAAAATGGAGGTTTCCCATAACAGCCAAAAAGAAGACTTAAAAAAGACATTAAATAATTGCCTTAAGACTTGGTAAAAATTAAAGAAAAAAAAAAACAAAAAAACCCCCAAACCTCAAACAAACAAAACCCAAAAACCCCAATAGGTAACAGCAAACCTGATGTGTACCCGTATGACTGTGGGAGATGTAAACATAAAACTGAGCAGGCAAATAATCCTACAGGCCCTAGAATGTTTGAAATGACTGAAGGAATGAATCACATAAGGTCTAGAGGGTTCTTAGTTCCTGGAATTTTGGTTTTGTACGATTCTAAAAATATACAAGTATTGTGCTGGGTTATTTTGGCACCTAATCTTTCTAAATTTCTTATGTAAGATTCTGGCGTGGAAACAGATTTAAAGACATTAACTCAGTACGGCATGATTTCAGGAAAGGTCAACTGGTACAAATGATAAGCACATTTTAAATGGTGAACAGCAAGAATCTTTTGCTAAGTGTCCAAACAGGTTGATCATAACCCAGACACAGAGGTTGAAATTCTGTCAAGCTTGTGGCCTGGTAAAACGGCCAGACTTATTCACCCGGCCAACATGCTGTCTGACATGTACTACAAATTAGGTACCATCTTAAGTTTCACTTCCAAGGCAATAGCATCAGGCTCCCCAGTTTTATTGAATGCGACAGTTGTTTCTATGACCATTGGAGTCTTTGAAGCGCAGCTGCATGTTAGGATGATACTTCTCCAAGTACAAAGGTTGCTTGCTATTAACACACCGCCTTTGTCTTATGAATTGTACTGCATCTCCATATTTCATTCTGCCTTCAGTCAATGACAAGGCAACAAGCACTGGAGCTCTCCCAAGGCCTGCAACACAATGAACAGCAATACAACCACCAGGTTCTTCACGAAACTTAATTTCTATAGGACTTAACCAGTCATGGACAATTTGGTTGGATGGTGGTGCACCATCATCAAAAGGCCAATCAAGAACATGGATGCCTTCTTTCTCCACAAGAGTCGTATCATAAGTTGCTTCACATACTCTTCCTATTGTGCTAACACCATACTTCTTAAGTTCCTCTATACATTTGTTGAAGGTTGCATTGGTTGGATTGTGTGTAATAAGAAATCTCACGTTCTTGTCCGTGACTTCCACAGGAGCAGGGCGGTTCATTCGAGCCATGTTCATTTAGTTAAAAAAAAAAACACACTCATTAGGGTTATGAAAGAATTAAAAAAATTGATTATAGAAATGATGAAAGTAAATGAAGTCTACCTCAATAGACTGCACTTGATATTCTCGTGCTTTGAGTATGAGTTGGGAGTAACGGGAAATGAAGTGAACCTCCTAACAAGAAGCAGCGATTCTTCAATCCAGGAATACTGAGGCAGTAGAAAAGAAGTGCCCTGAGGTTTACCAGATCCAGGTTAGAATGCTTGTAAAATGCTCGGTGGATTTTCAATTCAATACATCTGTGTTTAATAAGAGGTTAACAACCACTCTTATGGGGGCTTCTTGGTGGAGTAGTAGTGAATTTCTACAGTTCCCTTGTCTGCATAGACATCGGGCTGTGCCTGGCAGTAATCTCCACTGCCCTTAGAAACTCCATAAATGTGTGACCAAGAACACCACAGAACTGAGGAATATGTTTCCTCATTGAAGATTGTGGCCTAGTCATACAGCCGGTCCCGACATGGTGGTGATACAGGTGGAGGCGGGTGCACCAGACTGAAGAACTCAAAAGTCTTAACGCCAAAAACACAAACAACCCAATCAATAAATGGGCTCAGGAGCTGAACAGACACTTCTCAGAAGATATACATTCAATCAACAAATATATGAAAAAATGTTCAACATCTCTAGTAACTAGAGAAATGCAAGTCAAAACTACTCTAAGATTTCATCTCATTCCAGTCAGAATGGCAGCTATTATGAATACAGACAACAATAAGTGTTGGTGAGGATGTGGGGGAAAAGGCACACTCATTCATTGCTGGTGGGACTGCAAATTGGTGCAGCCAATATAGAAAGCAGTATGCAGATTCCTTGGAAATCTGGGAATGGAACCACCATTTAACCCAGATGTCCCACTCCTTGGTCTATACCCAAAGGACTTAAAATCAGCATACTACAGGGACACAGCCACAAAAATGTTCATAGCAGCTCAATTCACAATAGCTAAACTGTGGAGCCAACCTAGATGCCTTTCAGTAGATGAACGGAGAAAGACATTGTGGTATATATGCACAATTGAATATTACTCAGCATTGAAAGAGAATAAGATCATAGCATTTTCAGCTAACAGAGGGAGTTGGAGAATATCATGCTAAGTAAAGTAAGCCAATCCCCAAAAAACCAAAGGCTGAATGTTTTATCTTATAAGTGGCTGCTGATCTACAATGGGAGTGGGGGGCATGGGGAAAAATTGAGGCACTTTAATGGGGCAAAGGGGAGGGAGAAATGGGGAGAGGGCTTGGGGGCATGAAAGATGGTGGAATGAGATGGACATCATTACCCCAGGTACATGTATGACTGCACATATGGAGCGATGATGCTACATCATGTACAACCAGAGAAATGAGAAGTTGTGCTGCAAGTGTGTACAATGGATGAAAATGCATTCTGCTGTCATATATACCTAATTAAACTAATTAATTAATTATTTAAAAAGTTCAGATAAATGCTTGATTATGTAGAGCAAGAGGTCACAGGAGATTAATACTTGCCATCCCTAGTACACATCTCTATAATGTAAGCCAGGGAAAGAAACCAATTCAAACTTACTTGTCAGTAGAAATAAGGGCATGCAAATAGGAAATGTAGAAAGAGGTGTGGTTTCAGGTGTGGCTGAATCCAGGGGATTGGTGATGTTGGTCAGGATGTACACACCTATTCTTTTTATGTTGTTGATGTTCTTTTTAGATATACATGACATGTAGAGTATATTTTGACATATCATACATACATGGAGTATAACTTCCTATTCTTGTGGTTGAAGATGATGTGGAGTTACACTGGTTCTATATTCACATATGAATATAGAAAAGTAATGTCTGATTCATTCTACTGTCTTTCCTAGTCCCATGCCCCCTCCCTTCCTTTCTTTCCCCTTTGTCTAATCCAATGAACTTTTATACTTTCCTTTTTTTATTGTGTGTGCACATCCACATTTTAAAACATTTGGCTTTCGTTTTTTTAAGACAGAGCATGATAATCTCCAGTTCCATCCATTTGCTGGCAAATGCCATAATTTTATTCTTTTCTTTATGGCTAAGTAATATCCCATTGTGTATATATACCACATTTTCTTTATCCACTCATCTGTTGAAGGGCACCGAGGTTGGTTCCATAGTTCAGCTATTGTGAATGGAGCAGCTATCAACATTGATGTGGCTGTGTCCCTGTGGTTTGCTGATTTTAAGTCCTTTGGGTATATGCCAAGGAGTGGGATAGCTGGGTCAAATGATGATTCCATTCCAAGTTTTCTGAGGGATCTCCATACTGCAGTCCCACCAGCAATGTACGAGGGAACATTTTCCTCACATTTCACCAACAATTATTGTTGCTTTTTTCCCGATAATTGCCATTCTGACGGGAGTGAGATAAGATCTCATGAACGCACCTATCCTCTACCCTCACCTCTGCTCTGGTGATTGATAGCTCTGAAGTGGATGGTCAGGTCAGGCCCACGTCTCGTGTGCCCCCTTGATGCAGATAAAGCCGGAAATACCACCCCTCCACCTGCTCCAACTTGGGAAGAGTCATGGTTTAGAATGGGGATGGAGTTGGCAGATCCAAACAGATGCTCACAAGGCCCACTTTATGGACACGGGGGCTTTAGGACATGACAAACACATACAAATTGCTTTTGAAAGGCTTTGGGACTGAGTGGACATTCTGATTTCTAACTTCCGTTTCCTGTGTCTTCTAGAATCTGGACTGTAATTTCCAGTGCTTCAAAGTTACAGGCTGGTCCCACGCGTGGAACCCACAGAGAGGGTTGCCTCTTAGTCTTAGGAGCAATGCTTGAGAACTCCTTGTAAGTTTCCTTCTTAATAACGGCCCAATAGCCGTCCCTTTTGTGGGGTGAGGTGGACAGCTTGCCAGCCTAGGTGGACGTGCGTCCCGTTCTGGAGGTTTCTGTGAGAGCAGCTAGGGTCTGCTCAGGTGCAGCACGTGGCTGGCCCCGTGGGACAGCGGAGGAGGTGAGCCCCTGTGGATTTCCTCCAGGCTCCTGTAATATCTCCCTGAGCAGAAACAGCTGTCCCCAGATGCTCGGGAGATTTCAAGTCATCCCTGCTCCGACGTGTTCCTCTCCTGCATAAAAACCTGTTTCCAGAATCCCCCTGCGCCTGGATGCGCACTCCTTCCTCTGTGCGGGAAGCCAGCGAACTGTTCCCCCGGGAAGTGTTGGAATGGGCCATGAGTGCCCAGGCGCCTGGGGTCAGAGCGACGATGGAGAGGATTCTGTCCCCAAGGCGACATTCCCTGCACGGGCTTCCACCAGGCGCCCTGGGGAGCCATGGGTGTTGACTCCAGACTGCGGTGGTCAGGAAACCGCTTTCCACTGCAAACTCGATTCTCTTTTTCCTCGTGGCCTCTCTTTGGCGGTAAAAATCAGTCGGGTCTTCCACAGGCTGCTCAGAATCTTCCTCCCTTTCCCTCCACAGAGCCGGTCTTTAAGGGGACTCAGTGTGTCCTCGTGGACCATGTGATTTGATGGGGGACATGGAGGTCCAAGGAAGCCACAGTGAGGCTGTTTCCAAAAGTTCCAAAGCATTCAGAACGCTGGAGAGCCTCAGGGAAGGAGAAGGAGAATTTATCAGGGGAATCCAGGAAATGTAGCAAGAGAAGAAATAGTCAAATTGAATCCTTAAAGAACAGGAGTGAGGCTGGGCTTGGTGGCACATGCCTATAATCCCAGCGGCTCCGGAGGCTGAGGCAGGAGGATTGGAAATTCAAGGCCAACCTCAGCACATTAATAAGGCCCTCAGCAACAGAGTGAGACCCTATCTCCAAATAAAAAAAGTAAAAAATAAAAAGGGCTGGGGATGTGGCTCAGTAGTTAAGTGCCCCTGGGTTCAATCCCTGGTACAAAAAAAAAAAAAAAGAAAGAAAAGAAAACAGGAGTTTGCCAAGTGGAGGTTAAAATGGGAAATATTTTGTAGGAAGAGGGGTACCAGGGATTGAATTTGTATTGTATTTAGAGACAGGGTCTCACTGAGTTGCTGAGTGCCTCGCTTTTGCTGAGGCTGGCTTTGAACTTGTGATTCTCCTGCCTCAGCCTCCGAGCCACTGGGATGACAGTCGTGAGCCACCATGCCCAGCTAGTGGGAGATTTTTTAAAAGTGAGCATGTTGGTGTTCACTGTGCGCCGGTCACTGCCCTAGGTGCTGTGCATATGCTCACATGTACCGTGTGCAAGACTTGCACAGTATTCACATGTATTAAGTCATTTAACCCTCCCCAAAACCAAATGGAGTGCAATATCACCCCCATTTTATAGACAAGGAGACTGAGGCCCAAAGAGCTGGTTATTTGCCAAGGTCACATTGCACGAAAGCATGTGATAGGCCTAGAGCTGCAACCTGGCCATTTCGACTCCAGAGCCTATGTTCTTAACCTCTTTGCAATCAGACCCTAGAACCAAAGGTGAGAAGGCACCAGGGGGCTTAAACCCACCTCCCAATGCTCCAACATTGCTTCCTGCTACAGGCTCATTTCCCTCTCCCAGACTATGGAATGGATATAGTGACTTGCTTCCAAGGACTAGAGGTGGCAGTGTTCGGCTTGGAAGATTGTATGTCTTCTGCTTCATCCTCCCTCTCTCAGATCACTTACCTTGAGCAGGGCCAGCTACCATGATGCAAGGACACTCAGGGAGCCCTGTGCAGAGGATAGAGTGTCTGAGCCAGCAAGGAGCTGAGGCCTCCCGCCCACAGCCACACAGTGCGTTTAGTAGCAGATTGACCCATCTCTGTCCAGGCTCATGGGGATGCAGCCTTGCCAACCTTTCAACTGCATCCCTGCAGAACCTCTCAAATAAACCACTGCAGATTCTGACCCACCGGTACCATGGAAAACAAATGTATCATTCCAAACCACTAAATTCGGAGGTGATTTGCTGCACAGCAACAGATAGCTCACACAGGCCTGTGAAGGCCGGTGTCTCCTGTATGCAC